GACGCTGTGAAAATTTACTTGAACGCTTTTCATGCTCCTAGAATCCGTAGGACGCCGCAGTGGTACTCGATTGTCTGACTTTCATGGCAATATTTTATCAAACAGTTTGGCACAACAAAATGCCTCATCAAGTACTGGAGGAAATTCAAGTGGGACCGCAGGGGATAATAGAATTTCAACAGCAGTTGTCTCCAGTGGTAACACCAACAATATGCGTCGTCAGGACTTTATAGCTTATCTTCTTTCGTTGATGCGTGCAAGTGGAAATGATCATGGTGATTCTGTTCCATTGATCGATGCTCCAAGTCATAAGCATCTCGCCTACGTTGTTGATGCATTCCTTTATTTTTTCAAGTCATTTGAACTTGCCTGGCCTGCAGGCCTCGTTCATTTTCTTTCGGATTCCACACAAGGCGTAGACACTTTTGATGCCTGCGAAAATAGACAGTCAAAGAATGCATCAGTTCAGCAAAATAGGTCTGACACTAAATGTATCAGTTCCTGGTGGCCAAATTATGCTGAAAACGCATCAGACGCGGATAACGATGACGATATAGAAATGCCCGAAATTACTAAGGTCAAGATTTTTTCTTTGGTTATTGTTTGATTAATTGGGATATCATTAATAGGGTTGTTGCTATGACTATAAGAGCATTTCCCCTCGACCTTTTAAGGCATTTTCATTTACATTTTAAAATTAATTTTCACCTAAAAAATCTTCTATTTAGATCGTAGAAATGAAGACCAGGATGGTGTGGCCTTCTGTTTGGTCGCAGTCTCCTTTAGTTTTATAGTGTTGGTTCGACCTTGTTTTCGCAACTTAGTCGCAGAGTCAGTAAGACCTAGTGGAACGTATCTAGTACCATGTCCTCTGCCATAGCATTTGCGATTTCCAGCATCGGACCATTGGCTGGGTATATTCCCAAACGTTTCGCTCAGGATAAAAATGTCTTTTACGGGACAAGACCTAGTGAAATTCAATGGAGTTGTCAGGCCTACTTACACAGTTATGCGAAAATTCAACTTATTGAGACAATTCTTTTACCTTAATTCAGTAACTAACCAGTATAGTCGTTAAAACCAATTAAATAGTTGCAAATGAGTCATAACATATCTGACTACTACATTTGCTGATTGCCCCTTTGCTTATTATTCCTCTTTGCCTCAGCGATAGTCTCATAACATAAATTTAATATAGGACAGGCCTAGCTAGCCTTTAAATTTTCTTCTGTTCTGTACTCCCTCAGCGGGATTCGAACTGCGACAATGCAGGATGGGAGCTTGTCACGCTAACCACTCGGCTACAATGCCACGAGCGCCGTTTGGGTCACAGGGCAAATATAAATTTTCAAGGAAGGCCAGGCCTTTTTGCCATATCATGTTCCTGGGTGGGATTGTCGATAAAGCAAAGGTATATTTGCTATAACAATCGACTACTAGTCTCGAAACAATACTTAATGCGAAAAATAAGTGAAATTTAGTCGCATCATGATGCCTCTATGTCATGGAAAAATTTGTTATCCATCCTTCATCACTTTAAGCAATCTAGGGTAACTAGACCTTATAAAAAAGACATTATTAAATGGTTTATCGCTTTATTTTTTTAGGACTATTGATACATTATTTTATTAATGAACTACTGGATTTTCCATCTTATGTAAAGACTTGATTTTTATTTATTTGTAATACCAAAATTTTATCGAGGGTATGAAGACAAAGATGGTGTGGCCTTTTGAATGGTCGCAGCCTCCTTTCGTTGTATAGAGGTTGTTTGACCTTATTTTTGCAACTTGGTCATATTGGTAGGAAGACTTAGAGGAATGACAATTAGTCCGGAGTTCATTGTATGCATGATAATTTCCGAAGTCGGATCGCGGACGTGGTACATTCCCAAACGTTTTGCCGGCATCGGCAGTGAGTCTCGCCATTCGTAGCACCATATTACAACTCGTCAAAGAGACAAGTGAAGCCGATCCCTTGACCAAACGTGTGCTAAACAGTTGTGGTATCTCCCCTACTGCCATGGGCTATTCACATTTCATATATCCTCATATTACGCCTTCATTTTTCAATTTTACCGTGCTTATTGAGATGTAGCCTGATGTGCTCCTTTATGAAAACAATTCACACTACGCTGTCGTTCTCACTCCCTTCACCCTTATGCTTGGAATGTTGATCGGAGTCTGCCATATTGTTACGCAGTCCTCCTTCCATAGGTCTTATCAAAGTCTCCCTTTTGCCCCGTAAGATCCGTCTGCTATCTCCCTGGTTCACGTATTTCACTCGACTCCTGCCGCCCCATCTGTGCTACTCGAAGCTTTATTACCCCACCCTGCGTCTGGGTGACTAATTCGAGGATAAAGCCTCTGAGTAAGTCTCATGGTCACGCCTTTGCTACATGGACTACGTCTCAAGTAAAATCTACTGTTGGCCAACTAGCTCCTGTCTCCGCTGCGTGTATGCTGTTTCTATCCGTAATACTAAGCCTTTGACTTCCCATGCCCTAGTCTCTTGTGTGCCAACCCAAGAACCACAACGCTTGCGGGTTGGTTCACCATTTAACCTAATCAAAGCAAGCAGTACCACAACATTTGTGGGCTAGCACAAGAGACGAAGGCATAACGAGTCATAGTATTACGGATAGAATGAGAATAGGCGCGGCGGAGACTGGATCTACGTAGCTGACATTAGGTTTTACCATAGACGTGGTCCATGTATCAAAGTTTTTACGATGAGACTTACTCAGAGGCTTTTGCCTCGAATTAGTCACCCAGACGCAGGGGGGGCGAATAACGCCTCGAGTAACGCAGATGGGGTGACAAGGCTCGAGTGAAATACGTGAACCAGGGATATAGCAGACGGATCTTACGGGACAAGAGAAAGACTGTGATTAAACCTAGGGAAAGAGGACTGCATAACAATATGGTTGATTCTGATCAACATTCCCAGCACAAAGGTGAAGGGGGTGATCACGACAGCGTGGAGTGTGAAGGGTTTTCATGAATGCCGCTCAAAGGAGCACACCACACTACATCTCAATGAGTAAGGTAAAAATTGTAACAAATTACGGGTAATAAGAGAATATAGGAAACGTAAATAGCTTAGGGCAGAAGGCGATACCACATCTGTTTAGCACACCTTTGGTCAGAGGATCGGCTTCACTTGTCTTTTTGATGAGTTGTGTGGTGTAAGAATGGCGAGACTCACTGACGATTCCGGCGAAAAATCTGGGAAGGTACCACGTCCACGGTCCGACTTTGGAAATTATCATGCATACACTGAACTACGGACTAGGTGCGTTCCTATAGGTCTCCCTACCAATATGACCAAGTTGCGAAAACAAGGTAAAACAACCTCTATGCAGAAATGTTATGTTTATTTTTATATAAATTAACTGTGTATTTCTATCTGATACAAATTTTTTGTAATTAATTTAGTCTCTTCAATTTGGAGGAGCCTCAAAAAACACTGAAAACCCGGAGCAAACTTTCAGAGGTATGCGTATTTATCACATTTTTTGTAAAAGCCTTTTTCAAATTTTTTAATAGACTGTTTGGTAAAGCTAGTGGGTTTATTTGTTGCCGATTCTCAGTTATTCTCTCTGTATCTTTTCATCATGTTTACTTCATTTAGGCGACACAACGAATTCTTCTGTTTCATCTCTACCAACTACTTTCGCATCGCTCTCTGGCATTAGATTAGCTCGTCGCACTGATACCTTTTTCCGTCGATCTGAGAGCACTCTTTCTTTGGCTGGCGCAGGCCTCGATCCTATTGAGACTCCTTTGGCCGAGGCCTTGCCTCTTGCCACGCAACCCCATCTTCTGCGCCCAACTACTAGTCGATCTGAGCTGTTTGGAATATCTCGGTACCTTCTAGCATCTATTCA